TATTAATTTTAGAAAACACTTCAAGAAATATAAGTGGCTAAATCCACCGTAAGCACCAGTACATGTTTTGAAAAACAAATTAATGAGCTTGAGATTTCGGTTAATTCAATCTTCGACCTCATCAAAACAATCACCTATTAGTAGAATTCTACTAGTATACCAACGCAAATGCTGCAATCTGATTGGCTGAGCTACTCGTATACTATCAGCCATTAGAATGCAGTAGCTATCGGTCGTCCACGAAATGCGACGTTTTCCCGAAGTTTTGGAAGTAAATGGATAATTAAATTCCCGAGAAGACTGAAAGAAGGACATAAACATATTCTTGACTTTAAAAACTTGAAATTATTGATAAACCGGCGCGCGCGCGTAAACAACTGCAAATTTACTAAGGACAATTCAATACATGCGATTTTGTTAAAGCGTAAAGTTCAAAAAATGCGTCGAAAAATATTTGGAAACCATTATTTGCGTTAATTTAAGTTAGTATTCTACTAAAACAATTAGATTATTCGCTCTCGATTTTTATGAGGCCTTCGTCCTCATCAACTATCACCTCATAGAAATCTCGAGCTCATAATCTAATTGTTAAACAGAAAACTCGAGCTCAGTCCTAATCCATATTTGTTAAATGTTGTTAAATCTCAGTACAGCTTCAGGCCTGCGCCTGCGCTTCTTGCAGGGTGTTTTCTAATGTTTTTTGAAACGAAAAGTCCTATTAACAAAAAGAAATTTTGCTTTGCATCAGCAATTCATTGTCGTCCTCGCGTATTAGCTTTTAGATTGGGGCTCTATTTAAGAAAGTAACGCGTAAAGATACGACACTGCGACAATTTCCTCAGCTTTCACCAGGGAGTTTACGAAACCACGACGGCGAGGCCGAGGACAACTTCGATTAAAAAATGAATTTATATTAAATCTACGAATCTCGCGATACTCTAAAGTCATTTACGTTGTTTATCACTCTCAAAACTATTGCAAAACTAAATCCCGAACACAGCAATAAACTTGAAATAAAAATTAAAAAATAGCCGTTGTGGTTCACGTTCTCCAGGCAACGCAAAATTGGGTCATTTCACGTTCTTGTCTTGCAGAGGACGGCAAAGAAATGTACCAAGAATTATATCGCACTTGCACGCAGCCATTGTACTTTTATTCAGTGACGTTCCCGTCGCCGTTGCCGTCGTGGTTTGGTAAACCCCCTACTACTGCAAATATAACGGGGCAAGGAAAATTATTCCGCCAGAGATCAGGGCGAGAGTTTGACAGAGAACAGATACTATCAAATTACAGGCGAAGTTTTAATATTCTCAGAATGTCAACACGACTCCTGCAAGTTTATTGTGGTGGGCAGTTATACATGATAATTTTAAGAGCAATGAGCTGCAATCAATAACACTTGGGGTTTTAACGCCAACTGCTAGAGCATTAAAAATTTATGTCCAAGGCAACGGTATTAATAATAATGTAGAGAGTCCCTGCTTGTATTGCGGGCGCTGTATCGTCGTTATGCCATTGGCCCCGTGCAAAGATATGTTTCACTTTCATGCTCGTACAAGGCGCGCTTTTAAATGGACAAAACGTATAAGGCTTACGTTTTTATATAATATGGACAATTTAAAAGGAAAAAGACTAAGACTAACTCTATGGCCACTGAAGAGAAATAATGAAAGAGAACTGTGCCTTTTAGAACTGAAGTAAAAACTCGCCTTTTCATGGCTTAGAAAATAGTCTTGGGAAATATATAATACATTGGCAGCTGTAATATTAACGACCAAGTTGATTAACAAAGAGAGTTGTAGAATTATCAAAGAATATATTAGAAAAATCTAGCTGAGCATAACAACATGATATCACCGTTTTCACACGTATAAATTTTCTGGTTCTTGTTATCCAAACGAGCACCTGCCTAATAGACGTTGGCCTCAACGCTGATTGGCCGTTCCTTTTCAACATACCCAAGGTTGCACGGAGTCTAAGGATAATTACAAACGGATGCTGTTTCAACTGTGGGTCGTCAAAGTTTATCTTTGTTCTTACCCTCGAGATTCGATTTTACATTCCATCATGCCTGTACCTGGCATCTGTTGTGTCATCCTCTTTTTATCGACTGTGTTACACCAGACCAGCTGTTCTCCAGGTTAGATCACTTCCATTTAGTGTCTTTAATTTGTAGCATGCAGATTAGCCACTTGAACTTTTTTCGATCATTCAAAGGTTTCTCGGTGAATCATTTCGGATCAGGTGAGCGAAATGAATAAAAGATAGCAACAAAATAAAAGCTACACTGCGAAGTATGTTATTTTCAAACCAGAACAGTGGGCTACCGCTCGCGTTAGCAGTTAGTGAAAATCTGCCTTTTTCAGTTCCGCCATCTGCTGAGAACCTGAGAAAAACTTGGGCAATATGTAGTAAACAGCGATTAGTTGGCGTCTTTTGAATGAGGGCTGATTTCAACTTTTGGTTTTTCAAGTCCAGTAGAAAACTTTGCCCGCTGTGGAGGTGCAAAAAGAAGTATTGAATATCAGCTTTAATTATCGACTGAGAAAGTCATGTCGTGGTGATTGGTTGAGAGAACATAAATTGAACGTTAATATTTTTAATTTACACTGCAGTGCAAACTTATACAGGCGTTCTTTGTAATTTACTCAGTCATATTCTTAATGAGTAATCGTAAGGGCAATCATAAGATTGACTAATAAAGGATGTAGACCGCTCAAGAGAGCTTATTAACATTTTTTCAAATAATAATAATTGCACTCGCCTAAACGTTCGTGAAATTTTCAGAGAATTTTCAAATATCACTCGCTCTGTAAATCCTCAGTTATACTGGCATTCAAATTAAAAGTGCAAAAGAATATTGGTTATATCGCTTCTGCCGCCTCACCGATAAGAGCATCAAGAATACCCTCTCCAATCCTTGATGAGACCTTTGTTTTTTCCTGTCGAAGTTAAATGCCTTGTAAAATATACATAAAGCACAAAAATGCAAATGATTCTAGTTAATCGTCGAGAGAATGCTAAAGGAGTATCTGAGTGAAGGCCAAAGTATTCGAATAAAGAGATTGAAGACTAACGTCTCATCAACGTATGAAGTCCTTATCCAGTGTTAAGATTTGCTCATTCTAAACTGATTATAAGTAATTACATGATTGGATTATAAACTGATGTTCAATATTTCCACTCCACCTATCAAACCAGTACTGGGAGTAATTTGCACAGATTGTGATATTTTACTGGCGCTTAAAACTTTATTCTAGGAATGACCTGATTCTTACGCCATCCCCGTGTGCACGCTTCCAAAGAAATATATTCCTCATATACCTTTATCGCCAATAACAGTCTGGGAGATTTCATTTCCTTTAACCCCGTTTGACCATATTCTTTAAACTGCATAACATTCTTTAAAACTTAATAATGGTTGTTTTTACCACAGGAGCAAACATTTTACAACAGAGTTTTAGACAGCGTCTGTATTTAAGGAGTGATTTTCACCGCCTCGATGTGCCTGGTGTTGGGACAATCCTGGCGCACGACGACTTTGCTTGCACCTTCAAATGCCTCAGTAATCCCCTGTGCTTCTCAGTGAACCTGGCATCTTCCAAAGGGACCAACGGAAAGCTGTGGTGTGAGCTATTGTCGTCTGATAAATACAACAACCCTGAGGCATACAAAGGAAACATGAGTTCTCATCATTACTCCATATTGGTGGGTTATTCTCTAACATGATTCAAAACTTAGCACTGAGGAAGGGCTAGGCCCGAAACGTCTGCTATAAACATCGTTTTTAATTTGACACTGCATTATTACTATTTACAACCTAAGTTTAAGCCACTGTTTTATTGGAACAACACATCTATTTTCCTCAGTTCCAAAATTCCTCTCCCCTCGGAATCCTCAACATAACGCCATGTTGTAAATTTCGTTGGTCTTGCTACAAGTTCTTAGGCAGTGATGAAGTATCACTTGTTTACACCAAATGGGCTTTTCCAGCCCAGTTAATTTCATTGGTTCAAGTAAAGAGTCGAAGTGGTTGGCAAATGTATAGTTTCCTTCGCAGCCGTTTTTTGGGATGTCAAGCAAGCGTTGCGTGACATCCCCCCAAAAAACGGCTGCGGAGGAGACTAGCAAATGCATGACACGTTAGTCTAATTAACAAACCTTGTCTCCTTCCTTCAGGTTGTATCCTAAACTAACCAAGCATTGTTTGAATTCGTGAGGCTCAAGTCGCATATTTTCATCCTAAAGGAAAGCAACGAAACATTAACACGCTTTAAAATGAAGTTTGTTCCTGGTGACATTCACTAAATGTACATTCTTATATTTTTAGGTTTTAAAATAGCAAATTCCTGCCAGCAGATTCTTAAACCACTAGGTTCTTACACGCGCGTTTTTACTGTAACAGCAGTTTATCATCTACAGCTGTAGTGTCAGAGTCGGGGCGAGAGTAAACAAGAAAAATTACATCTATTCTTCCTGAAAAGAGACAATAACATTAATCACAAATTCCTGGACCATCACACTTATTACTGGTATTCTGTATTTACTTTGTCAAAGAAGTTGAACGAGTTACGGAATTCCTTCATCTGGTCGTCAGAGATGCCTTTAGAATCCCTCATAAGAATCTATCAATAAAGGAAAGTGTATCAGTCGTATCAAACAAAAACTTCCGGGAGTAAAGTAGGCTCGATTAATCGTATCGGCTGATAGTTGCCCCGCGGAAATTTGATGTTCTTAAAACAAATATTTGCCCAAGAAGCAAAGCTCCCGAGGGCAAATAAGCTAGTCTTAAGAACATCAAATTTCCAAGGGGAAACTATCAGACCGAGAGTTCCGAGACTAACACACTCTATTGTCTTTATTGTTTATGTTTTATAAGCTCGCTTGTTTACAGAAAATTTTTCACGGACGAGTACTATCCATCCGGGTATTTCCTCGGACGGGCACTATGGGTTGATAGTGTCTCTCCGCGGATAAACACTATCGCGTCACGTGATCACTTTAAACCAATAAGAATCGGAGAAAATTTAATGGTGAACTATAACGAATGTTAGTAGCCACTCAGCTGTTTTCTATTGGAAATTCGAGAATCTGATTTGTATTTGTTAACATGCATTTAACATAGACTCAGGCATTTCTGTGTTACATTTTGTGTTTCTTATTTCTACTCAATAAGCCTCCTGTTTATAGTCTTATAATAAAAGGAACTTTGTACTAAATTTACCTGGTTTTCAACTTCATTGATGTTTCTCGCAATGGCAGTCAGCAGTTGTTCCCAGTTCACTCGGAGAGCCTGAGAAAATCACATAAGAGTTAATTTTACCATCAATCGTTCGTGTGTCAGTATAATAACCTTTTCGTAAATTAGCTTCAGTTGACGCTGCAGTTCTTGATGCTTTCCGTAAGATTGGTATTTTTTCGTGAACTGAACATGTCTATTGGTCAGTGTATTTTTCATAAGCAACATGATAAAAACGACCGCCTTAGAACTTAGACGAGGGACAAAGAGAGTGCCCTATGAACCTGTCAGATAGGTGTCAGATATATACACAATAAAACTATACTTAAGGGACATTCCGATTGGATTATCATAAGGGACTGAAACAATACATACAAGACATTCTTGTGCTAAAAAGAAATGCTTGCGAAGAACTGGTAGGAATGCACCCACTCACGCCATCACTCTCACATTACATTATCTGATCACCCAACACCTGAAGGTTCCAACTGAGTCGCCATACTTACTTCCATTGTGAATTCTGTGTGGGGGTTTTCAAAGATTAGTGCTTCTTGGACATCCTGTAAATAAGCACAACTTCAGAATGATGGTATCTGGGTCACTGTATTAAGATGTTTACATTTACTAACAAATATTCTAAAGGCAGTGGTTAACATAACAACACAGTTGTGGTTGAGGACAGATTTGATCTACTGTAGGTCACAAAAGTGTTTTAGAATCAGCATCAGAAACAGTTAGGCAAGTGACGAGACCTTGAAAACAAAAACTCTCAAGCTAAGAAAACATAACAGGTGATATATAAAAGAAGACCACAACTGTTATTTCACTGTCTCCAAAAAAAAAACAATCACAAAATAAAACGATTAAACAAAATTTGTGTAAGGCAAAAAACAATGCATTAAAACAAAATAATATAAAGCGCCTTTTCTTACTTGGTGCACCAACTCTAGTTCATCCATTTGAGGTTTGTAGCCAGCAACATCTCGTTCAAGCCCTTGGACAGCTTTCAGTTGTTCCTTTATTGGAAGTAACAACAAAATATACCAACTAGAATTACACTTTGACATGTACAATGCATAATGCAATGTAAAATGTAGCTATTATTAATTTGTAGCGCTGACACTGGGTCATTAAATCTTGAATTTCTATAAATGCACTACACACTAATCTGGTAAAGGGTTGTGAGGACACGTATGTACAATTGTAAATAACGTGTAAAACAAAGAAAACCATCAAGACCAGAAATATTTATGGAATTGTGCAGCAAGGAAAACCCCAATTAGGCGTAAGAGAACTAAACCGCAAATAGCAACGCTAATTTGGTTTGGGGTTTAGAATTGAACAAAGTGTTCACGGTTTTCTGAGTTTCACAGTAACACAAGCCATTTTCAAAAAAGGCTTTTTTTCCGCTGATCCAAAAAAATTATAGGCCTGTGTCTTTAACATCCTTGACTGCAAAAATTATGAACACTTAGTATGTGCAAGTAGATATGTCCTATCTCTCAAGCAACTTATTCCTCTTTCAACAACAGCATGGTTCCCAGAGAAGACTTCCGTGCAAAGACCCAGTGAATCATACTCATTAACATACAGGCAAGCAGCCTCAACAGCAACAGCAAGTCGATGTGATCTTCCTTAGGCCATTGACAACCGGAGATTTTTGGAAAATACGCATTTTTTGGACATTTTGGACATTTTGAGCCTGGCTATGAACTAAATTAGCTCCAATCTACTGAAAAAGGCATTTGCAACATGACAGCATGCCTTTCTTTCCACTGGCACCGCGTTTTATCACATTTTTATTTTTTTTGCTAGGGCATGCGCAGAAATTAAAATTTTGAAAGTGTCCTACGTCTTTAGGCTTTTTGGTTTTTTAATTTTTTTTTCGTCTTCCTTTTTTCTACTTTTCGTATCTTTTTGCTACAAATGCTGACCCACTACTGGGCTTGCTTCCAATTCAAGGATTTCCGCGAAAGCATCATCGAGACAGGAAGTTCTTAGCATGGAGTAGCCAAGTGTAGCAGAGGGAAATTTTGCTCCGAATTTTTCACCCAAATTTCTAAGCATTTTCGTGCATATTTCACGCTCAATCGACCTGGGTATCACTGGAAAGATCCTTTCCTCCTGCCGAACTTGAGTGTAAGTGATGCCAATTTTGGTCAGAGGTGATGACATAAGAAGTGGAACAGAGGCCAACGTCCGTCACGGGCGGTCTTTGGCGGCACAGGCGTCAATGGGTTAAAGGCTTGTTCTCACTAGCCCATAACCATAAGCATAAGCCGATATACACAGACGCTGAAAGATGTTGATAATCAGCACCTTTCATTTGGGAAATTTCCAACAAAAGGCGCTAATTATCAACATCTTACTGCGCCTGCATATATTGGCTTATGCTATGGTTATGCGCTAGTGGACACAAGCCGTAACCTCTCAAAGGTGTTTGACACAGTCCAATCATAAAGGGCGCATGCTCAAAAAAAGTATTATGCTTCACAGGAAACTGGGGAGAGATCCACACCTGGCTGTGACTTCCTCGTAAGCACAAGATCACGTGTCCTTCTGAATGGTTATGAATCTCAACGGACACATGTCCTTTCAAGAACCATCCCCGGACTGATTCTGTTCATGTTGTTTTTCTTTCCTCTTGTTTAAGTTATTCATAATTTCATTACTTTGTCATGGTACTCAGTCCATAATGACACATTCGCGCTTTTGTTACAAAATTTGAAAGCTGTAGCTTGCCTGTGCTGTCTGTGAACGAATCATCAGATTTTATTGTTTATCTGTTTTTAACACCCGAACTTCTGTATTGAAGTGCAGCTTTCAAGTTTATCCGGCTTCTTTATTGAAGCACAACTATAAGTCCAGCTTTCATAAGATTTCAATGGTACATTGTAGATGTTATAGTTAGTACTACATGCTGTTCAATTTGGAAATAATTAGATGAAAAACTTCTGTGGACGGCCAAAATTGGATGAGGCCTTTAGGTCGAGTCCAATTTGGCAGTAAGAGGAAATCTTTGAACTTAATTATTTCCCAATTGAACTAGGATGTAGCCGCATTACTGTTAATTATACTATGTATAAAACTGTCCAAATTACTTGTTAATTTGGACATTACTCAAATTAAAATTCATTTGGACAGTTTGCAAAATAAAGAAAACTTGCACCAATACTTGTATGGGTTTTTGGGTTGAGACATGGGCTGCGAATATCATTATAAGTACATTTAAGGGCCCATTAACCGATTTATGCGCGCGCTCGCGCGCGTTCCTAAGGAGGTGAAATTTCACTTCTGGTTACTTACGTCAGCCTGAGCGCGGAAAACAAAAAAAAATCAATAACTTCCAAATTCGCTTACATTTTAGATGTTTTTCTTTGTGTTTCACAAAATGTAAAGTAAAAAAAGTACAAGCAGAGACAAAATAAGAAAAAGACAGAAAAACAAGAGCAATAGAAAGAGAAAAATTAACTCCGTGTGGCTTTCTTCGATCTTACCGAAGTGCGCTGATAGTGTAAATTGCGCACGCGCTGATAGGGTAACTTCCAATATATATCGGGCGCACCTCTGGTTTCTTTAAATGCCAAATGAAACGCGGTTTTTCATTAAATCCAGCNAATAATGGTTGTTTTTACCACAGGAGCAAACATTTTACAACAGAGTTTTAGACAGCGTCTGTATTTAAGGAGTGATTTTCACTACCTCAATGTGCCTGGTGTTGGGACAATCATGATGCACGACGACTTTGCTTGCACCTTCAAATGCCTCAGCAATCCCCTGTGCTTCTCAGTGAACCTGGCATCTTCCAAAGGGACCAACGGAAAGCTCTGGTGTGAGCTATTGTCGTCTGATAAATACAACAACCCTGAGGCATACAAAGGAAACATGAGTTCTCATCATTACTCCATATTGGTGGGTTATTCTCTAACATGATTCAAAACTTAGCACTGAGGAAGGGCTAGGCCCGAAACGTCTGCTATAGACAGCGTTTTTAATTTGACACTGCATTATTACTATATACAACTTTTAAGTGTTACCTGTCCCACACAGCAACTGATCCTTTTGGACTATACAAATATTTATTCTCTAACGTGAACTGATATGTACATTAACCCAATTAAGAAAGGGATTTTAGGTTTTTAAACTCTTTCGTTTTGATAAGGATGTATTTTATAACAATATCGAGGCTGAAAGTCGCGAAATTTTAAGAATATTTCAAAAATAATCCCCGCGGCTAAGATTTTGAAAAGAATGCAATTTTGAGTGTCGAAAATTTTAAATGCAACATAATCATATATCTTTAACTAAACCGTATAAAATTCTTCCTTCTCTAAACGGCAAAACTAGCCCAAAAGCAACAAAAACAGCACTAGCCGTATGTTCGATGCTGATAATATATCAGCAAGAAGTTATGTGCGTGATATCAGGCTTTCATGCCTGCAGGCTAGCTCAAAAATTACTTTAACACCATCCAGACACCAAATACCTTCGAAACAGAAATGTCATACGCTATATTCAAAGCGTATTCACAAGAATATTTTCAGCCTAAAATCAGCAGAAAAATAAAAAAATTCAGCCTCGGCCGGAAAAAATTATTCTTACAAAAAAAAAAAAACTTAACAGTAGCGAGTGAACGGCTGGATGGCGAGCTCCCTCTCCATATTTGAATCTACTTAACTTAAAAAGCAATGAAACTCGAAGGAATATTGGAAAATATGAATCGCCTGCGAATATGTGGTTGCCTTGGAGAAGGTTTTAGATTCCTCTAGGCGTTAAGTTAGTTGAGGCACAGCTCGAAAAACGGCGAGAGAAAGCGAAAGAACGCCTGTGGACAAATTTAACAAAAGTTCCTTCTGCCCACTTATAGACCGCCTACAGGACCCGTAACATGACCGCCGGCTTGTGTCTTTCAGTGGTCTGCAGATGTCAAAACGCAAAACAGTCAACAGACTTGCTCGTAATATAAGCAGCTCCATTCCAATCATGTGGTGCAGGAACGAACAAAGGAGGAACAAACCTAAACATCCAGCTAGATATACGTAATCTCGATCAAATTGATGCAAGAAACATAAAAACGTCGTTATGCAAACGTTTAGTTTTATCGAAGTGAAGCTACGGCGGTCTCTGAAGAAAAACTGGACGAAGATACATATATAAATATGATATCCGTGACAAGAAGCAACATACTACACTTGCAAACAGTTCTTATTAAACAGCCGGGCCCGGCTCGATCAAATTGATGCAAGAAACATAAAGACGTCCTGATGCAAACGTATAGTTTTCTCGAAGTAAAGCTACGGCGGTGTCTGAAGAAAAACTGGACGAACATACTGTACTTGCAAACAGTTCTTATATCAAAACAGCCGGGCCTGGCGTCACAAAAGAACGCAAGTAAGCAACATGTTCACGGAATAATTCAAACTTAGTCCCTTGAAAGAAAATACTTAGGAGACTTGAATTAAAACATAACTTGCAATAGAAATGAGCCCAAACAAAGTCGAAGCACATGACACATACTCTGCGAAGCGCCATTCGGATAACTGCAAAAGCCATACAGACGTATTACCTCTTAAATTTTCGATAGCACAGTCTAACGGCGCCACTCTACTAAAAATTCGTCCTAATAACACAACATACAGTGCTCTTCATAAACACGTCTGAAGCAAAGAAAGGTCAGTAAAGGTACACGAACCGTAGGAGTCGTGTAGGCCCGTCAACCTTATTTTTATACACTGCAAAGACATGTGTGCCATTGACCATATTTTTTTATTCAATCCTATTGTTCTTCGCGAAGGAACTCCACATGGGGAAAATCAGTTATTCCACTCGCTCTTGTTGGATATGAGATGGTTATAGCCAACTCGACCCTACGCGCATCGTTGGCTATCTACCAGCTCATATCTAACGCGCGCTAGTGGAATAATTCTTAATCATTATTAACTACTTATTAACCTCGAACGTTCGGTCTTTACGGGAAAATCTCAAACCTCAGCCTTGCCGTATTGATACGGCAAGGCTGAGGTTTGAGATTCTCCCTTAAAGATCGAACGTTCGAGGTTAATAATTTTTTTATTATGTGGCT